CATTGGAAAACATATACGAAGAAAGTAGTATATTACAACTCAAGAAGAATGTTAGAGATGTTTTGTATGATTTGTTTGATGAGTATAGGAAGGCCATTCAACCTGAATCTCAATCTGGAGAATCAAGTTTGAGATCAATAGAAACTCGTGATTTGGAAGGATAAAGGAAGAAACAATACTCTGTCATAGAGGCAAGATTGAAAAAGTTTGAACTTGCTAGAAGTGTTGAAAATAAATCTGAACTTGAAAAATATTTGAGTGAGCCAAGGGAAGCGGTTTCTCCTGATTTTGATGTGTGAGTTGGTGGAAGTTAAACTGTCAAGATTTCATATTCTTAGTATAATAACTAGTGATATTTTAGTCATCTCCTTCTTTATCTCCACTGTGGCCTCCGATTCTGCATTTAGTTTATTCAGGCGTGTTCTCAATCCTTTTAGGAGTTCATTAACTCTTAAAATAATTGAAGCACTTATTTTTTTTGTGAAGATTGGTTAAGAAATGCTAAAGTACCCAATGTGGAGAAATATTTGAATATGCTAATAACTATTGAAGAATGTAATTCTTTCATTTATATTACTATTTCATTATTAATATCAATATGATGGAATACTAGTATCTCTTTTCATTCATATCTAAATATAACTCACTTTAAGAAGTTGTCTATTTTATCTTTTTAGGTGTTGCTAGTTTTAGTTTATGATAAGGTAAAGAAGTGAAGATGTTTTTCTTTTAAAGAATCAATAAGTTTGTAAACCAATACTGAACTCTACTTTTCTATTTTAGTCTGGAACTTTATTTTTTTGTAATGATGAGGTAAAAAAGTGAAGATGTTTTAGTTTGGAACTCTCTTTTTTTGTTTTATTATTAGTAAATGTAATATTCCCAAAATTTATACCAAAACTGATTAATTTTTAGTTGATGTTGTTAGAAAGGCAAACAATCATAAAAGTTTATATAAACTTGTTCAAAATCTGTGAACTTATATACTTAGTTTTGGTTTATACAGGGATGAAATACTACAAATTGTTCGGATATGTGGATTGTGAAAATTTGCTTTTGACGATATAGATGGGAGTGTATGATTTTGTTTGTTTTTCTTTTTATTATTATTTGGAAAGCTTATTTTATTTCTAGAATTTAAACGATGGACATAGTCCTGGTCTTAGAACTTGAATGATTGCCTTTGGCTTCTTTTTTTTTTTTTGGTTATATTCTTGGATTATTATAAATTGTTTATTTTTTTTAAACACATGAATTATTATGAAAATGAGATATTATTATGAATTGTGCAGATTGATGAATGAATTCTCAAAAGATCGGTTTGTTCGGTTTTAAACCGAATCAAACCGAGCTTGGTTCGGTTTTTGAAAATTTTTGTTCAATTTTGGTTCTAATTTTTAGAAATCGAAAATCGATCAAAACTGAAAGTTCGATTCGATACGAACCGAACCGGCCGAATGCTCAGCCCTAGTAGCATAGTGGTGGCATGATGCATGTAAAGCCACCTCCAAACCATTAGAGCAATAGCAATGACGTTCTTTTGGAGGCTTTTTTTTTTTAATTTAAGATTTTTTTTTTTAACAACCATTGAATACGAAACTCTACATAGGTCATCGTCTCCGGGCTATATTTTCGATGGTTCCTCAATGTTGCCTCGTACAGTCGAGGAAACATTTGGGACAAAAAATATTTTCTCTTCATTTTAGTATGTTTCATAACAGTTGACGTTTTATATTTTTAATAAATTTATCAATATTAAATATAATTGATAAATAAAAATTATATTAATTAAATTTCTAATTTCTTACATGTAGGACCAATTTAAAATTCTTTTATTTTTATCGTTATCTTCAATCAATTTAATTGAATTTCTATCATATTACACATAGGATATATTCAAAACTTTTTTATTGTATATTTTTAATAAACAATTTTTTTTATTGAATTTTTATTTTTATAAAATTAATTTATGTTACTCACAAATGAATAAAATTATTGTTTAATCTAATTATATTATATAAAATTTTGTTCTCTACAAAATAATACTCATATTATATACTCTATTTGTCTGTTAGTAAACTTCTAATTTGACTTTTGTAAGCGGATTAAGATAAATTATATAATGTCTTTTACTCTTGAAAAGTAATGTGAAAAAAAAAAAATAGAGGTATTTTAGTATTTAGTTGAGAGTTATTTTTTCAAAAAAAAAAAAAAAATCGAAATTTTGATTTGAACACAATAAAATGACAAATGAAAAATTTATAATGAATGGAAAGAATATATTTTATTAATATATATAATATTCAAATACATGTTTAAAATTATTTTAACCATATATATTAATTTTTATTATAAAAATATTAACAGAGCCGTTCCTATAAAAAAATAACAGAATAGTATTATAAGTTTTCTGTTATTCTACTCACATAGTGACATCATGGCTTCAAATCCCAAAGCTGCTTCCAGGTCTTATGGCATGGTTCGCCTAACGTAGTTTGTCTTGTCGGACCTAGTTTGTATACTACTAGGTTGGCCGAGGATTTACCCAAAATGCAATCAAAGGATAGCGACCTTATAAAAAAACATATATATATATATATATAGTATTCTATCCGTCTCATCTTTATTGACATATTTTTTATTTTTGTATGTTCTATAACAATCGACACATTTCTAATTTGGATATAATTCATTAAATCAAAACATATTTAATAAATATAAATCCTTATGGTATGTTTTTCTTGAAAGGTTAAAAAAATTTGAGTTTGAGTTTAGATTATATTTGAATTTTAAAATGAATTTGGATTTTTGTATTTTTTTTAGTGTGTAGGTTTGGTTTGAGTTTTGAAATTTTGATATGTATTAATTTAATGTGTAATAAATATAATGATATAAATGTATATTAAATTGAATTTTAAAAGTTAATAATGGTATGATTTGAATATTAAATTTATATTAATAATAAATACTCCCTTAGTCATATAACTAAGTATCCATTTACTTTTTGCTTGTTGATCTTTGAATATTAATTATTATATCAAAACGTATTACAAATCAAGAAAAAATTACAAAAATATTTCTATAAGTGTCTTATAATACTAATATAATAACATTTGTATAAAAAATTATGCAAATACAATGATATTTTTAACGTTAAGTACAATGACGCAAAAGGTAAATGAATATTTTGTTATGGGACGGAGGGAGTATATATTTATATTTTTTTATTTATTTTAATTATACAAAATTTTATTCTTTACAAAATAATACTCTCTCCATCCATTAAAATTAGCTCATTGGGCTCGACACGAGAATTAAAAAAAATTAATATTTTATTGAAAAAAATGATATGTAGTTGAGGATATTTTTAAAAATTTAGTTAAAAAGTAAATAAATAAAGAGATAATGTAATAAAATTAGTGGTATTTGTTGTAAATAAGTGTTGAATGATGGGTAATAATTAAATGTTAATTTGTTGACTTTGCCAAAATTAGTAATGAGATAAATTTAGTAGACGGTCTAAAAAGAAAAGCGAGAATAAATTCGACTGACGAAAAACATATATATTATATATATTTAATTAAACTATAATTATTAAAATAATCAAATAATTCATATGTTGTATTTCTTACACAACCATACAAGTCTTTTGCTTACATTTTTTATTAAAAAAAAAAAAAAAAGTTATTCATTTGCTTATATAAATATTTCTCTACTAATATTATAAGATACCAATAAAAATATTTTTTAAATTAGACGAAGTATAATAAATTAAAGGCTAAAGCTGCCAGGTTGGGGGTATGTCAGGCCGAGACTGGTTTGGCGCCAAAATCATTATGCACAAAAATTACACAATAATTATGCCCAAACCAGTGTTCAAAGAAACACACTTTTAATCGATTACATAACATATAATACCATAAAATTACTCAAAACTCATTTATTTATATTTATCTTTTAAAAAAATAAATATTTTTATCTCTATCTAAAATTCTACCTATTTTATACAATTAGTTTATATTACTTATAAATAAACGTATTTTTCATTTATTTATATTATATAAAAAAAATATCTACAAAATATATTTATATTGCATATAATTTTTATTGAAATATAATTCTTAAAATATTTAAATACTCATTTTAATTTTTAATAATGTATATTAATTTTATTTCAAACTACCAAAATACCAATATTATTAATTCTATAAAAAAATACGCATTTGCTGAATTAAATTTCAGCCATTAATCTTATGTTAATAATTTTAAAATTAAGGATCATAACTGAAATTAAGAGTGTCATTACAGTTCAATCAATTTAGCATGGGATCCATTTTCTTATTTTTTCCTAAGTCAAAATACTATTTGAACTAAAATTTAAATTGAATGCAAACCAAACAAACTTTCAATTTAATGAATAAAAAAACTTTCAACATCTAATAGTTTTTTTCATCTTAAAATATATATATATATATACACGACATTATTACTTTTACACCAAAACAAAATTATTTTTTACATTACTTTTAATTAAAATACTAATCCCTCCGTCCCAGATACCATGTCACTTTCTTTTTTTGGAAAATAATTACACACTTTAATCTTATTTTAAATTTTTAAATTTTATTTTTTTTAATTTTAATTAAACTAATTAGTTATCTTAATCTTAATTTATAATTATTTATATTACAAGATAATTATTTTCACTAATACATTCTTAATTATCTACTAATTACACCCCTCTATTTTCATTAATATTTCAAATGACTCCATCAAATTAATTAATCTTACAATAACTTTTCTCAAAAAAACACATCATATCAAAACTTTTTACGATTCTCAAAACCCTCCAAAAACTCAAAAACTTCCTAAACACTTAATGAAACAAAGCCTAAAAGCAGGCAGCATCAAGAATCTTACAGAAACAATGAAATAAGTAAAATCCCAGATAGTTAGACAAAATCAACATCATGCACAAAAAGAAAGTAACAACAAAGAAATTCATCAATCTAAGCAAACAGATCACGAAATTTTCTCCCAACAAATGTAATCAAAGCACATGTATGTCATGTCGCCGGTACCCAACAATCTCATTTGCCCATTCATCACATATACTTTCATGCCATTTTAGCTTCGATCTTTCATGTTCTACGAAAAACTAGAAACAATCCAGTCCATATACAGCAATTACGTATATACTTTTCATGCTGTAAACATAAACACATAAAAAGGCCACATTTTTCCAAGCAAGACAAGTTTTGAAGAGCATTTTACCGTTTACCAAGGCGGATTAGAGCCTTCCCTTACGGATGGAGATCTGGAAGCCGTGCTGGTATCTCTTCCCAGCCTCGAGACGCTCCTGCCGCTTTTTGGAGTACCAAATCCCGGGCTCGCACTTCTGTAACTTGCTCTCAGTGATTCGTCGATAGATTTAGACGACTTCGCAATGGCATTCCTCATGAACTTCTGGGCTGCAGGTGAAAGTGTTCGAGCACCGGGGCTGGCGCTTCCTCCTCGAACGGGGGAAGGCAAGGGTGGTTTCTGAAACATCTTCGACCTCTCTCTAATCTTCCTTGCAGCCTCCCTCGAAAGAGAGTGCGCCTTCACATCCCTCGAATGTGGCATAGGGATATTGAACTGCGGCCCATCTCCGCTGCCCCCAATGTCGATCGGCGTGTCCTCTGCCTCTAACCTCAGTGGAGTTCCCTCAATTTCTCCCCATGTTATGAATGGGGACTCGTCAACGCCAGGGGCAGGGGAGGGGGTTTTAACAAACGTGTAACCATTATCCGCCTTTTTCTCTGACTCAACGTAGAATCGATTTGGGGTTTTCCTTAGGTCCTCCAAATCGTACTTCTTCCCCCTATCACTGTCCCTGTTAGATATCGGAACCGGTGTTGCTCCAGCCACCGGTGTGTACAGCACAGAGACGGTATCATCAATGTCCTTCGATGCATTGGCATCCATAGCCTTGCCATGGAATCGGGTATTCGATCGGCTAATCTCCTTTGTCATTCCTTTTACCCGGAAAGCTCTCTCCTCCGGTGTTAATGGAGCTTCACCTCTGTCGGCCGGATGATACATTAGTAGATTCTTTGGTGTGTATTTCCAACCTTCCAATGAACTCACAGGCTGATCGGATGTCCCGAATCCATCCGTCGGAACGTTTTCGCGCTTACCGGAACCATCGATCAAGTTATTCCCATTGTTTCCTTCGTTTTCTCCTGATGTCAATAGGTAATCGTACTTCTCCTTTTTCTTCTTATTCACTTTTTCGATGATTTTCGAGAAGCTCTCGTTGTCCTCGCTTGTGTACTTTCTGAGAAACTCATCGAGCGACAAGGAAGTATCGACTTGTTGTTCCTCACCACCGCCGCTCCCGTCGCGATCATCGCTCGCGAAATTATCTTTAGCCTCGTTGTAAAGAGAGGGCGTGACGGACGTATTACGGAACACGGACGTACCAGGAGTGTTAGTGGTGGATCGAATCGAAGCATCGGCGGCGTCTCCAGATTTGCGCAGCCGGCGGCGCTCGAGGATTTTGAGCTGCGCGTCGCGGATGAGCACGGGATCCTTCGTCCGTACGGCCTGCAACCAATCGAGGCGATCTCGGAGCTTGGGGATATCGGGGAAGAAGTCGCGCTCGATGATCTTCTCGATGGCGGCGACGTAGGTGTCCTCGTCTAGCACGGCCGGGCCACGGCGGCGCTTCCGGGAGGCGGAATCGGAATTGGGAATTGAAGCGAGGACGAGTGACGAATTGGGATTGGGAGTCGAATCGGAGGAAGGAGTGGAGATTTGACGGGGTGAGTGGCCTGGTGATAACAACATGATTGATGGAATACCGACGAGCAGGAAATCGAGAAGAAGACGATGATGAACAGATTTCTAAATTAGGGTTAGGGTTTCGAAATTTGGGATTTTTTCTGAAGGCGAAGGAAGAGTTGTTAATGGCTGAGGAAAACGCGTTGTTCGCAGCTTTGCATCTGTAGCACCCAAATATTTTGTATTTTGCTGTTGTACCCCTCCGCGCTGAATATTTTGGTATTTAACCCCAAATTTTCTTTCTTTTTTCTCATCAAACACGGCTAACTAATTGGGTATTACGTATTCTAATTTTTTTTTCTTCTAACTTTTAAATATTTAATTAATCATTTAAAACATTGTTAGCTCATTTTTATACGTAGATATTATATCAATAATAATTTTTATTTTTTTAATATCAAAGCATAAATCATACTAATATTATAACTTATAAATATCAATATTGTACTGTTGCTACTTGAAAATATAATTTTATCTTTTTTTTTTTTTTTTTTTAAGGTAGCTGCGTTTTTCCTTTGATTGACTTCTGTTGATTTTTTGGTGGATTTGTTTCGAATTTTATTTGCTTCTGAATTTAGGATATTTTGCATTTCTTGACCTAGGTCTATGTTTTGGAAATATTTAATTTTGTGAATTATGCTTTTTATTTATTTATTTATTTAGAGATTATTCGATTTTTTATATCTTTTATTTACTTATTTATTTACAATATATTGCCCCCGATTTGATTACCGAGTTGTTTAGATGTTTTTCAGCCCTTGCTTCAAAATTTTTTATTGAATTGTTTTTTTGTTACAAAATCTTTTAGTCCTTGTGATGAACTTAATACAAGGTAATTCCCATGGATCTCTCTTAATCCTTGTTGTATTAAAAAACTTTATCGTTGTTGTTAACTCATTTTTAATTTTAATCTTTTTGGTATTTGAGTAAATTTATATTACTAAATGGTGAACGTGTAAATTAATTATTAGGTTTGTGTATTACTTGTTATTCTTGCAGTCATTCACTATGTTGTAATAATTTTCGAGAAGATATAGCAAAAAATACGGGCACAGGTTTATTCGAAACATGGGGAGAACACCCAACTTTGAAAACTTGCCAAAAGCAATAAGAAAGTATGGCATTAATTTTAGATTTAATTATAAAAATCATGATCATCACATTTTCTTGTTTACTCTCAAAGAGTTTAATTGATTTTTCTTGCTCGATGGTTTATGTGTCAACCGATTATAATACCTGAAATCATATTGTCCATTAAATCCAAACATTGGTATGCCAATGCTCTACTGAATTATAAAATGTTGATTATGTCCTTCGCTGCTGCCACCGGGAGATTTGTGCTTGTCTGCCCTACTTTTGCTTGTTGATGTTGTTTTGTTTTTTCTTTGGATTTGCTTGTAATGCCCCGATTTCGGAATGTATAAAATAATATTATTATAGCAAATAAATATTTGACAATAGTAATGGAATCAAGAAATTAATATTTTGGGATAAATTATATTCCAATTTTGTATATTAGTTATAATTAAATAGACTGTTAAACGGATAAATATCGATAAAGATAAATATAAAATATAATATATATAATAATATAATAATAATAATAAAGGTAATGATGATGAAGATAATATTTGTAATAATAATAATAATAATAATAACGTTAATAATAATAATATAATATAATATATATAATAATAATATAATTGTATATATTTATACAAACTCAAACCTTACCTGCGAAGGACGACCAAAGCAGAAGAACGCGAAGGAGAAAGAAGAGAAAAAAGAAAAGAAGAAAGAAAAAGATTTAGCCGTCCGATTCCAATTCCGACTTGGGTATGGTATTCCTTGCTATTCGTAGAGTCCGATTATAAATTTTAATACGAATTTTGATATTGGAGTATTAAATTAGAAATTCTTCAAAAATTCAAAATTGGCTATTTAGCTATTTAATCGATGAATTTCTTTAGCTAATAGCCTATTCGTAGCGCCGACGTTATATTTTGAGAATTTCGTACCAATCCAAGTCGAATAAAAAACGGCAGTATATCGCACCTGCCTGCTTGTTCATACCTTTGCGTATTTTTATTTAATAATCGGGCAATATAAATATTATGAGGTAGAAGGATTTTATAGCTAGAATATCATATTCTACTAAATATAAAAGTTTGGAGCCCGACGAGTTAATTATAGAAATTAGCTTTTGAATAAGCAGGTAGCTCCTGAGAATAAGCATAAAGCTCATCTGATTTGAGTAAATAATGGGACAGGTGTACGTTGGAGGAGATTTGGGTGAAGTTATAAAATCCAGAAAGTATCGGTAGGAGGTAAGCAGTAGGGAATTAAATCTAATTTTAAGAAATTAGGTATTTATGTTGCATGTGATTCTGATTCTGATATTGATATGATATTATGTGGAATCATTTGGTCAGTGCATCTATATATGTATATATGTGTGTGTATATGCATGTGTGAAACTTCGTTTTACGATATTTGATATACGTATTTGATCGTGTTGGTGAATTTATAAAAAGGAGGATAGGTGGGCCGTCTCACCAGCCCTTTTCATTAAATTCACTTATTGACATGCTGCACACATTGCACGATTTATCGGATATGTTTTATGGATCTATCGTTTAGTCGCCGTGTGCGGTAGTGCTAGGCGAGGGCATCATCTGGGGTTAGGATATTCGACCCCGATGTACCGTAACACTTTGGCGATAGTGGACGATAGTAGTCGGACAACTGGGTGACTTAGTCGCACGGTCATTCAGGGATTAGACCCATTGCAGTTGAGACGTATTTGGTCTAATCATTCGGGTTCGGTGTTGTTCCACTCATTGGAGTAGCTACTAGTGAGGTCTACCGGTAGTTTAGGATCAGATGCCAAACTCCAAACGCGATCCCGTTAGGGCGTGCGAGGAGGAGTAGAGTTTCCGGGTTTCCTTCGGGTGATTCCAGGTTGCACGGATTCTACTACGTTACACAGGGTAGGGCTAGACAGGAGGGTCCTATCTTCGCTATCACAGACTATGGGGTGTCTTGTGGTTAATGGCGACAACGTTCGACTATCCATGTATTGATTGCGGGAGTCGTATGGTGGGTATATGGAAGTGACCGGGTGACCGTTATATTATTATGGGTTTACCAGGTCCTTCCTTGAGCCGAGGATTTTCCGGCTATTTATTGATGATAGTCTAGTGAGCCGTTATTATGGAGCCGAGGTTATTCCGGCTGCTCACTTTGACATATGTATATGGGTATATGTGCATGAGTTGTCGATTTTGACATTATTGTTACATTATTTCAGTATGGGCATGGCATGTCATTTATTTTGCAAATGACGGAAATTAAACTCTATTTTCGAGCATGACATGGCATATTTTATGTTAGTTCTTAAAATGGATTTAATTCTAGACTGCTTTTAAGAAAAATATTTGATTCAGGTACGCATGGCACCTCCGGGACAGGGGACGTCTCGGGAGATAGAAAGACGGGCTGAATGAGTGAACTGCATCTGATGTATTATATGTAAATTCTAACTAGAAAAACCTCCCGTTTTGGGAGTATGTTTTTGTAAATATTTATAAACTTGTTTTTTTGGGAATAATAAAATGCTTATATAATTAATTTTAGCCTTAACACTGTGTTGTGGGGCCCGAAGTAGGAGGTAACGACCTCATGATGCAGTGTGGCGGTAGCATTTCCAGTATGAGCCAACTGGGGGTGTTACAAGTTGGTATCAGAGCCTAGGTTTGATAGATTTTGGCTCTTTGAATTAAAAAGGTTTTGAAAATAATAATGATATTGAATTGGTTTGGTGAGGTTTGGGTTTTGCGGGTGCATTCATGTTAATGTGATCTATCTTTTATTGTTATGCTTGGTTTAGCTGGGTGCTGAATTGATATTGAATCAGGAAAAATTGGGGACAGTATGTCGAATTCTCGAGGTGGTGGTGTACGTAGGGCTATTCAAGGCCCAGAGTTTGATCCTTCGTCTGATGAGTCACAGTATCCTGTGCCAGCGCATGTACCAACAGAGGCACCTAGTCAGGATTTCTTTCGGCAGTTTATGGCCGCGATGATGCCTCAACAGAGGAGTTTCATTGATGCTGTGATGGGGCATAACCCACCAACATATTCTGGTTCAGTGGAGCCAGGAGTCCTTGAGTTTTGGGTTGAAAAGATGGAAAAGATATTTCGTGTTGTTCAGGTTCCGCCAGATCAACGAGTTAATATTGGAGCCTATTTCTTGGAAGGCCGAGCAAATCGGTGGTGGTTAGGTGAAGAAGCTGCAGGTGTAGACCAAGTGGATATGACTTGGGATGAATTTAAAGCAAAGTTAAAGGCTAGGTTTATACCGTCGCATATTCGAAAAGCGAAGAAGCAAGAATTGCTGGACTTAAAGCAGGGCTCGATGTCAGTTGAGGATTATTTTGTGAAGTTTAATGAGTTGGAGATGTATGTTCCTGACTACTTTTCCTGTGAGCGAGACAGAATTGACCATTTTGTAGACGGGTTGCAACACAGAATTCAAGAAGCTTTAGCGGTGTTGGATATCAGTTCATTGTATGAGGCTTACGAGCGTGCTGCCCGATTTTATCAGAAGCAGGAAGTCAGACAAAAGGAGAGTGAGAAGGAAATAGGTTATCAACATCAGGTTCGAGATAAGGGAAAAGCTAAAGTGGAGGATGAGCCCAAGGGTAAAAAGAAATGGTGGCAAATGTTCAGGTCTGGGCCATCGTATAAGGGGATTTCGATTAATGAACCGAGTCAGGAGAGGTCTCAGCAATCGGGGGCTGTTTGTCGGCGTTGTGGAACAAGCCACCCAGGTACTCGTTGTGATAAAGTTCCATTGACATGTTTTAAATGTGGTGGTAGTGGTCACATTGCCAGGTTATGTCCAAGTGTGGTAACTGCAAGGGAGTTTCCAGAACCGAGGTTTAGGCCATGGCAGCCGCCGTCTTCGCAGTCACAAGGGAGAGGATTAGGATCATCTTGGCGAGGGGGACGAAGTCAGTCACGTTCGTCATCTAGGCAGCCAGGCAGAGGACCTGACCAGCGTGGTCGAATAAATGTTCTTACCCAAGCAGAAGCTGATTATCATCCAGGTGAGGTTTTAACGGGTAGATTTCTGGTTTGCGGTTTTCCTGCTCTTGTGTTATTCGATTCGGGTGCAACGTTCTCGTTCATATCTAAGCGTCTAGTTAGACGATTGGGTCTGAATTCATCAGTAGAAGTGGTAGTGGAAGTTTTACTTCCATCAGGAGAAGTGCTGGAATGCCGAGAGCTTTATATGCAGATTCCGGTTAGTATTGAAGGGGTTGATTTTGTTACTAACTTGTTGGGCATCAAGCTATCCGAGTTCGATGTAATATTGGGGATGGATTGGTTAGTGGCATATCAAGCTCAATTTGATTGTCGAAAAAGATCAATTTCGTTGGTTGAAGCGATGGGTGAACAAGTGAGCTATGCAGGATTTGCAAGACAACCTTCAATGAAGGTAATTTCATCCCTATCATTTCAATCACTTATTCGTAAGGGGTATCCAGTGTATCTGTGTGAGGTAAGAGATTTGACGCAAGGGGAGCAGCGATTGCAAGATATTCCTGTAGTCCGAAATTTTCCTGATGTATTTCCTGATGACATTCCGGGTATGCCACCAGCTCGTGAGGTGGATTTTACTATTGATATTGTGCCGGGTGCTGAGCCAGTATCAAGGGCTCCATACCGGATGGCACCTTTAGAACTAGCTGAACTTAAATTGCAACTACAGGAATTGCTAGATAAGGGTTACATTCGGCCTAGTACATCGCCTTGGGGAGCTCCAGTTTTATTTGTGAAAAAGAAAGATGGAAGTTTGAGGTTATGTATTGACTACCGTGGACTGAACAAAGTCACGGTGAAGAACAAATATCCTCTTCCGAGGATTGATGATCTATTTGATCAACTGAGAGGTGCAACTATATTCTCAAAGATTGACTTGAGATCTGGATATCATCAGCTAAGGATTGCAGAGCATGACATTCCGAAGACAGCTTTTCGGACTAGATACGGGCATTATGAATTCACGGTTATGTCCTTTGGGTTGACTAACGCCCCGGCTGCGTTTATGGAGTTGATGAATAGAATTTTTCAACCATACCTCGATCAGTTTGTGGTGGTATTTATTACGATATCTTGGTCTATTCCCCAGATAAAAAGACGCATGCAAAACATTTGCATGTAATATTAAACATATTGCGTGCAAGAAAGTTATATGCCAAGTTATCCAAATGCGAGTTTTGGTTGAAGGAGGTTGCTTTCTTGGGGCATGTTGTTTCTGGAAAGGGTATCTCAGTAGATCCTTCTAAAGTGGCGGCAATCATGGATTGGCCAAGACCTACCAATCAATCAGAAGTAAGAAGCTTTTTGGGTTTGGCAGGATATTATCGGCGATTCGTTCTTGATTTTTCGAAGGTTGCAAAACCATTAACTAATTTGCTGAAAAAGGATGCAAGATTAACTGGGATCACGAGTGTGAGTCATCCTTTTTAGAATTGAAACATCGATTAACTTCAGCGCCAATTTTGGCTTTACCAGTGGAAGGTGAGGATTTTGAAGTGTATAGTGATGCTTCGAAGCAGGGATTGGGATGTGTCTTAATGCAGAATCAAAGAGTTATTGCTTATGCATCACGACAACTAAAACCTCACGAAGAGAATTATCCAACACACGACTTGGAAATGGCAGCAGTTGTGTTTGCTTTGAAGATTTGGAGACACTATCTTTATGGAGCCCATTGCAGAATATTTACTGACCATCAAAGTTTGAAATATATCTTCACCCAAAAAGAATTGAATTTAAGACAAAGAAGATGGTTAGAATTGGTGAAGGATTATGATCTTGAAATTGTGTATCATGAAGGCAAAGCAAATGTTGTAGCCGATGCCTTAAGTCGAAAACCAAGGCATAACTTGGGCTTCATGTCGGTTGCTGATGAACTGTGCCAAGATTTAGCGCGGATGGAAATTGAGGTACTTAGACGGGGTATGACTCGGGGATATTTGCAAATGATACAAGTTGAGCCTGAAATTTATGATCGCATTAGAGCGGCTCAAATGGAAGATAATAAAATGGTTGAGCTTGCAGTAAAAGTTCAGTACGGTCAGACTCAAAATTTTAATATTGCTCCAGATGGGAGTCTTCGATTTCACGGGAGGTGGTGTATCCCAAAGGATCGAAATGATTTGAAAGAGCAGATTATGAGTGAGGCTCATAATACACCATACTCAGTGCATCCGGGGGGAAATAAAATGTATCATGACCTACGTCAACATTTTTTGTGGAAGGGCATGAAGAAGGATGTAGCCAAATTTGTTGCACGATGTTTAAATTGTCAAAAGGTAAAAGCAGAACATCATAGACCAATGGGGTTGCTACAACCTTTAGAAGTTCCACTCTGGAAATGGGATTCTATCGCAATGGATTTTGTAACAGGACTTCCAAGGTCAAAGTCGGGAACAGATGCAATTTGGGTAATTATAGACAGATTGACCAAGTCAGCAGTGTTCATTCCAGTACGTATGACTTGGAGTATGCAGAAATTGGCCAAATTATATGTTCATTATGTGGTTAAACGACACGGTATTCCTGAGGTGATCATATCAGATCGTGATCCACGTTTTCAATCTCGATTTTGGCAAAAATTGCAGGAAGCCTTTGGTACTCAGTTGCATATGAGTACTGCATTCCATCCTATGACTGATGGTCAGTCAGAAAGAACTATCCGTATTCTGGAAGATATGCTAAGAGCTTGTGCTATGGAATTTCAAGGGAGTTGGGAAGACCACTTGGATTTAGTGGAATTTTCATATAATAATAGCCATCAAGCAAGTATCGGAATGGCTCCTTTTGAAGCTCTTTATGGTCGAAAATGCAGAACTCCTTTGAGTTGGGACGATATGAGTGATCGACTGATACTGGGTCCGGAAATGATTGAGGAATCGAAAAATAAGATTCGAATTATCAGAGAAAAGATGAAGGCAGCTCAAGATCGTCAAAAGAATTATGCCGATAGAGCCCGACGTGAGGGTCAATTTCAAAGTGGAGATTTTGTCTTATTGGAAGTATCCCCAATGAAAGGTATTAGAAGGTTTGGGATTAAAGGAAAATTGAGTCCGCGTTATGTTGGACCTTATGAAATTGTCGATCGAGTTGGTGATTGGGCTTATCGGTTGGCACTTCCAAATTCTATGGAGCGTATCCATAATGTGTTTCATATATCTCAGCTTCGTAGGTATGTTGCAGATCCTTCTCATATTTTATCTCCAGATGAGATAGAGCTGAATGAAGATCTTTCGTATGAAGAAAAGCCTCTGTGGATCATGGACACAAAGGTCCGAACCATGAGGAATCGAGATATTCGTATGGTGAAAGTAATGTGGTCCAGACATGGAGCGGAAGAGGCCACGTGGGAAGTAGAACAAGAAATGTTCAAGGCATACCCACAACTGTTTAATTAAGTTGCCTTGTTATGTGTTTGAGTTTAGATTTCGGGGACGAAATCTTTTTAAGGGGGAGTGGATTGTAATGCCCCGATTTCGGAATGTATAAAATAATATTATTATAGCAAATAAATATTTGACAATAGTAATGGAATCAAGAAATTAATATTTTGGGATAAATTATATTCCAATTTTGTATATTAGTTATAATTAAATAGACTGTTAAACGGATAAATATCGATAAAGATAAATATAAAATATAATATATATAATAATATAATAATAATAATAAAGGTAATGATGATGAAGATAATATTTGTAATAATAATAATAATAATAATAACGTTAATAATAATAATATATATAATATATATAATAATAATATAATTGTATATATTTATACAAACTCAAACCTTACCTGCGAAGGACGACCAAAGCAGAAGAACGCGAAGGAGAAAGAAGAGAAAAAAGAAAAGAAGAAAGAAAAAGATTTAGCCGTCCGATTCCAATTCCGACTTGGGTATGGTATTCCTTGCTATTCGTAGAGTCCGATTATAAATTTTAATACGAATTTTGATATTGGAGTATTAAATTAGAAATTCTTCAAAAATTCAAAATTGGCTATTTAGCTATTTAATCGATGAATTTCTTTAGCTAATAGCCTATTCGTAGCGCCGACGTTATATTTTGAGAATTTCGTACCAATCCAAGTCGAATAAAAAACGGCAGTATATCGCACCTGCCTGCTTGTTCATACCTTTGCGTATTTTTATTTAATAATCGGGCAATATAAATATTATGAGGTAGAAGGATTTTATAGCTAGAATATCATATTCTACTAAATATAAAAGTTTGGAGCCCGACGAGTTAATTATAGAAATTAGCTTTTGAATAAGCAGGTAGCTCCTGAGAATAAGCATAAAGCTCATCTGATTTGAGTAAATAATGGGACAGGTGTACGTTGGAGGAGATTTGGGTGAAGTTATAAAATCCAGAAAGTATCGGTAGGAGGTAAGCAGTAGGGAATTAAATCTAATTTTAAGAAATTAGGTATTTATGTTGCATGTGATTCTGATTCTGATATTGATATGATATTATGTGGAATCATTTGGTCAGTGCATCTATATATGTATATATGTGTGTGTATATGCATGTGTGAAACTTCGTTTTACGATATTTGATATACGTATTTGATCGTGTTGGTGAATTTATAAAAAGGAGGATAGGTGGGCCGTCTCACCAGCCCTTTTCATTAAATTCACTTATTGACATGCTGCACACATTGCACGATTTATCGGATATGTTTTATGGATCTATCGTTTAGTCGCCGTGTGCGGTAGTGCTAGGCGAGGGCATCATCTGGGGTTAGGATATTCGACCCCGATGTACCGTAACACTTTGGCGATAGTGGACGATAGTAGTCGGACAACTGGGTGACTTAGTCGCACGGTCATTCAGGGATTAGACCCATTGCAGTTGAGACGTATTTGGTCTAATCATTCGGGTTCGGTGTTGTTCCACTCATTGGAGTAGCTACTAGTGAGGTCTACCGGTAGTTTAGGATCAGATGCCAAACTCCAAACGCGATCCCGTTAGGGCGTGCGAGGAGGAGTAGAGTTTCCGGGTTTCCTTCGGGTGATTCCAGGTTGCACGGATTCTACTACGTTACACAGGGTAGGGCTAGACAGGAGGGTCCTATCTTCGCTATCACAGACTATGGGGTGTCTTGTGGTTAATGGCGACAACGTTCGACTATCCATGTATTGATTGCGGGAGTCGTATGGTGGGTATATGGAAGTGACCGGGTGACCGTTATATTATTATGGGTTTACCAGGTCCTTCCTTGAGCCGAGGATTTTCCGGCTATTTATTGATGATAGTCTAGTGAGCCGTTATTATGGAGCCGAGGTTATTCCGGCTGCTCACTTTGACATATGTATATGGGTATATGTGCATGAGTTGTCGATTTTGACATTATTGTTACATTATTTCAGTATGGGCATGGCATGGCATTTATTTTGCAAATGACGGAAATTAAACTCTATTTTCGAGCATGACATGGCATATTTTATGTTAGTT